ATTTTGGTATTGGCGTAACAGAAAAAAAGATCTGATGTCGCAATTTCTAAAAAAAAAAAAATTGTCAGTTTTTATTGCCACTACTGTATCTTGTTATATACAAATCAAAATAAAAAAATGATGTTTACCTACTGGAAAAACCTCCCTCCAAAAAAAAAAATATTCCAAATTTTATATAATTCTATATGATTCTGTTTGATTTTAATTTTCAGAACTATAGTTATAATCTATTATATTAAACTTATAATAAATTTGTATTAAATTGATATTAAAATAGTATTGTTAAAAACATTAGATAAAATAAGTTTTTAAATTATTTAGTATATAAAGTTTTATAGATCAATTATATTTTTTTTAAAGAGATATAATTAATTATTTATTATTTTAATAAGAATATAATTAAAAAAATACTTGAATTAAATGGCTTAAATTATAAAAAATCTTTGTAAATAGTTTTTTTTTTTAATAATTTAGAGATTTATTTTTAACCCTAAACTTATATAATAATATAATTAAAGAAAATACAAATTAATATTAATATTTTTATTTATATTGGTGATTTAAATATTAATATAATATAATTATCTTATGCTAATCTTTTAATAAAATAAGTTATTTATAGTTTTTTGATTATTCTTTTTAAATAATAATAAAGCAATAGTTTTGTCAAGTATTTAAGATAAAATTGTTAATAACTATATATTTCTAATATATTAATTAGTAGATTAAGTCTTTAACAAAACAAGTCTTTATATACAGTTTGTCTAAAAAGTTTTTGGACAAATTTTTAATTTATATTTTTATTTACAATTCAATAAATAATTAATAAAATAAAACAAAATTTAAATATATATTAATAAGAATATAAAAAACAAATTTACTTAATAGATTTTTATTAATATATTATTGAAATTTATTGAAATTTATTGTTATATCAAAATAAAAAATTTTAAAATATATTATTTAATTAAATTACAATAAATAAATAAATAAATTATTTATAACTACTTTAAAATACTCTTTTCTAATTATATTCGTTTTGTTAAAAATTTTCTTTTTATAATAATTTTAAATAAGAAAAAATGTTTTATTTTTTTTATCGCAAGTAAGCCCCAGTTCAAAAACTCAAGAATTTTCAAGACAACTAGTGCAGTAGGATGGGATCTCTGATCAAAATCTACTTAAGTTTGAAAGTCTTGCTTATTTTTTGGTTATATGAGAAAAGGCCTATGACAGTTATCTTTTTTTCAATTCTCTTATATTCCTCTTTATTCTTATTTTATTATAAAAATCATATATATCATTACTATTATACTTGCTAAGTCAAATATTTTTCAAAACATATACTCAAACAAAGTTAATGGATCTACTGTTTGTTTTAAATTAACTCTCATATACAATATTTTCATATTAATATTTGTTATATTATCTTTAACCTTCAAAAATTTTTTATCCAAAAAACTGAAATCAGTTTATCTTTTTCAGATGATTAGTGCTCTTCAATTATTCAATCAGATTTCACTTAAAGATTAAAACAAAATCTAAATAAGCTCAAATTGATTTTGTATTACAACAATAATCACAACAACAACATATTATCAACAACTATAATAACAAACAACATCATGTGTACTTTATTATCTATAGTATCTGGAGAATTAGAAAGATAGAACAATAAGCCTATTTGAAATTCTTCTATTATATGTATAGATCTTATAATATATTTGATTTAATTTTAGTTTTAGTTACTTTTATTTTATTTTTATTTTTTTACATTTAAAAAATCAAAAGAATTCACAAAATTTTCTAAGATAATAAATATAGCTGTTACTCAATTTTATCTAATATATTAATATTGATTTTAAATTTTTTTACAATATTAGTTAGATATTGATAAGTAGGTAAACTAGTATTTAACTTTTCTAAATAATAAAAGAGATATTGTTTCTTTTATGATATATATCTTGTTATATATAATATCAAATAAAGAAATAATATTTATCTATTGGAAAAAAATAATAATAAATTATTTATAATAATTTTAAATTGCTTATTTGATTTTTTAATTAAAGAAATTTATTAAAATTTAATACAAAATATAAGATTTTTTTAAAATTTATATTAAAATTAAAAATTAAAATTTTTTATAAATTATTTTTATAAAATTATTTTATACATTATAAAAAAATTTTTTGGAATTTTTTATTAATCAAATAATTTTTTTTAATTTTTTAATTTATAATTTATCTATAAATTTATATATATAAACTTATGAAAAATTTTTAAACAAAATTTTTTTGATTTTAAAATTAAATTTTAAGATAAATTTATTAATAAAGTATTAATATTTTATTTTTTACATTTTAAAAAGTATATCCTTAAAATTTTATAACAAATAAATAGTTATTTATTTATTATAAAAAATATTTGTCTAAAGATTTTTAAACAAACTGTATATTTTATTTTAATTTTAAATAATTTTTGGTTTGGTTTAAACTATAGATATTTAAATAAAACAAGAATTTTTTCAATATTTAATAAAGAAAAACACTTAAAATATTATTAAATTAAAACTATTCAATAATTCTTTTTTTATTATTATATAAATTCTAATTACTATTAATCTATCAGCTATAGTAACAAACTTTTATATTTAAAGCAAATACAATTTTTTCAAATGCATTATCAATTTAATTCTAAAAATTGAAATCAAACAAAATCATATAAAATCATATAAAATTTAAAGCATTATTAAAAATAATAGTAAGTTATATTTCAACTATTAAATTTAATATAAACTTGAGAATTAAATACAGAATCAAAAAGAATTATTAGGATCCTTAATCATTAAACTAATAATTAATTATTTTAATTTACTTTCATATAATATTAAGTAAATAATTATAATTATTTAGAACCTCTTGACAAAATATATTGTTTTAAGATTTCTTTTTAATATTAATTGAGCAGTTATTGCAGACAAGCTAACATTTAATTTGTTGCCTTATTACATATGAGAGATGTTGTTTTTTTCACAATAGATATCTAATATTATACAAATTAAATAAAAAATGACATTTACACTACAAAAAAAAAAAAGTAATATAGATAGATACTAATGATTATAATTATATGATAAAAAATTAATTCATTCAAATTTAATATATTTTTTTATTCTAGATTTCTATTATCTGAAATATATGATTAACCAATATTTTATAAATAAAAAATTTTTTTAAAATGTAGATTATTAAATAGAATTAAAACAATGTTGCACATAAAGTTTTGTATAATTGTTTTAAAGAAAACTGCTATTTCTTATTTTTTTGGAAAATTTTCTTTTAAGAAAATCATTTAACAAAAAGAGGATCAACAACAAAGAGTTTTTTAGGTGATTTATGTAACTTTATTCTTTATATATTAATATATATATATTTATGTTTTTATTTTATTTTGTTAATTAATTATTAAATTACAAAGAAAAATAAAAAACACAATTTTTTTGGACCAGACTGTATGTTGAATTGAATTTTTGGTTTTTATTTTTCAATTATTTAAAATCAAAAAAATTCTGCTTTCGGACGGACTCGAATAGTACAAATCAACAATTGAAGTTATCTAAAATAATTCCAAGAATCTTTATACTCGTGTGAGATCTCGAATAAATTCGATGTTCTCGCTAGCATCCCTTTTGAAAAATGTTTGTCCTTTAAAAACTCGCGTCCTCGATCGATTCTCAGTTCTTTGAATTTACCTTCCCTTCGCTTCGCATAATTGATGATTACCTCCAGAAATTGATCATTAACTCCCGCTCTAACATTGGGATCAATCGCCAATTTCATTCCTAACCTTTTTATACCAGCCCGGCATTCTCTTAGTATTACTTCCAACTCACCAGAATCAACAACGAAATCGATGTCTAAATATTCCAAACTCAGAGGCAAGGACTGTCCGATCTCGACCAACATTTCTGTAGTGAAATTGATGGAAGTCGACTCGGAATGTAATATCAGGTGTTTGATGTTGAGTTCTAATAACAAGGAAAGTTTAGGAATAATTTCTGTATTAATGTTCATCATAAAATATTCAAGATTTACGCAAGAAGTGCTTAGGGATTGTAGAACATTTGCGCCAATGTCGTCCGTGACCAATACTGTAAGATTTTGTTTTGCCATTTCTATTATTTCTGATAGGATCTCGCTGTTCCCACTGTTGTTCAGACAGGTTATCCTTGAAAGTGAAAGCTTAATTTGGGACTTAATCCTTTGTAACAAAATATTGTCGCCCTCCACGTATCTGCAGTGAAATATGTTCATGGATTCCAATTTCGTACATCTTGATAGTTTAAGTAAGAACACCTCATCAATAGGAAATCTAGAAATTGCCAACACTCTTAGAGAATTGAATTGATTCGAGAGGGCAGAAATCAAACTTGCTGACAGAGTCGAATCCTGACTAGTGTCTTCCATCAGCAGATGTCGCAAGTTATTCTGCGACGCAATTAACGCCGGTAACCTTTTCCCTAATCTTTTATCAACGTGACAGCAATCAATGTTCATAAACTGGATATTGTTCGAGAAATGAGTCAACACTGTTATCAGATTCGACAAATTATCCAACCCATCAAGCGTAACGGTATAACACGTTCCGTGAATATGAAGTTCATTCAAACCTGACAGCGCTTTGCGTACTCTGGGCAATGATGCCAATTCAGGGATGTTATAATGCTCTTTCCAATCGCCAACCTCAAGACCGCGTAATCCATCGGTACAGTTGATTATAAGTTTACAGATCATGGATAGCATCGACGAAAGCTGAACTATGTCCTCGGGTTCCAAAGGCCCGTCCACCGTAAGATATGCGTAGATTGATTCCTCGAGCCATGCGCAATCGAGAATTTTCAGGTACCTAGGGTAGTTGAACAATGGTTCAGGCGCATCCGGGAGATCAACACCTTGGTCCAGTAGAACGTCCCTATCTTGCTCGGGAAGGCATGCTAGATACGTTTCTATTATTTTGGCGTTTGGCGGCGACCAATGCTCTCTCCAAATAATTGGGACCGCTGCGTTACACCAATTACGGTTAACTAATAGAAAAGAGTAGAACGAATATCTGTCATCCTCTAGATATTTGAAAATTTCCTCGAGGCAATTAATCGGTATATCAGACATGACAAGGTCAGCAGCGATTTACAGATTTCGAGATGAAATAAATTTCACAAACGTCACACAAGATTCCCTTAACGGGCATATATACTGGCATATATACTGGCATATAAAAATAAACAAATAGTATCTTTAATGGAAAAAAAAAAGAAAAAAAAGAAAAAACCCGCAATATTTTAAGCATCAATGGATCCATATTAATTAATTAATTTGCAAAACTTCTAGATCGATTTTTTAAAACATCGTTAAAGCAGAATCATATTTTTTTAATCAATTCACACTATACTAATGAATATAAATAACAAATTGTGTAAAGCAAAAATCATTATAAATATGTTTTTTTTATTGATATGATAAATAAGCTCCCAACAAGTATAATAAATTAATGATTCGGTATCATGACTTTTATGATAAAATTCCCAAAAATGTTATTATAATGAAATTTTTGAAAAAAGATTATTAATGATGTTAAATTAAACTTTATTTAAATTTCATGAAATAATATTTAAATTATTGTTCATATATATCTTTATATAATAATAAGAATATCATTTTAATTTCAATTTTAATTTTAATTTTATTATTTTTTCCAAATATCAATTAATAACATGAAATAATATAACATAATCTACAGGATATCAAATATATATTTATATATTTTTTTAAAAATGTAGATTAAATAATATGATACATTTTAATTCCCAGAAGATGATTATTATTAATAATTTAAACATTTTGATTACTCATGCTTAATTACACGGCGATGAAGCTTAATATGTATTTAGTTTTGTTCAACGTGCTGCATCTCCACAAATTCATTTATTCAATGAAACCAAAAAAATTTCAATTGTTGTACCGTTAAAGCGTTCAACTACGTTACGTCTGCTTCAATATGGCAATTGTAGGATGGAGGTTCTTCACGGAATCAACAAGATTTTAGTAATCTCATCGTCGACAAAAAAAAAAAAACTCACCATTATGAAAGATTTCATATTATCATAAATGCTTTTAGAAACTGTATTAATTTAATTTAATTTGTTTTAATATGTTATTCGACATATATAGTATACGCGATATGCGCAATGCATTGGTTTATATTTATAGATTCGATATGCTTAAATTCAAATGAATTTTCGAGATCAAAAGGCTATTTAGTGGTATTCCATGAATACGAAACAATCGTTTTAGAAAAAAATATTAATGCAATTGAAATGGTTCGTTTGTTTTGGGAAAAAAAAAAAACCGTTGATCGTGTGTAAACAAGTGAATCATCATTATTAATCGCCTTTTTTAAACCAATGGGACTCGATGCATCACCATGAATCAATGGTGAGTCATGACCTGCCTAATAGATTTTATGTTGAACTCAGAATCGAACTCAGGATCTGTGCCAAATGTAAATTTGATTTAAAACTTTAGATATCGAGAATTTGGGTAACATTAACGTCCAAATAACCAAATTAATAGACATTACGTATAACAAATTGCCTATTTCGGAAATTTGCCGTCTGAAAAAGGGTATGACCGTATTATTGTTGCCATTGAGGCAATATTTATCCTGTCGCCGAACCGCCAAAGGAATTATGTAATGTTTTTAATTAGACACATTGTGCAAACGAAAAGAAAATTGGCATTTGGAACGTCCGATAGGTGGCATGATGATGTCATGTATGTAATCAGATCATTAAAAAATCTAATCTTTGATCCTTGTGGAAGGGTTTTCGTCGTAGGGCAAATGGTAATATCATTCTGACATGAGAAAAATTTGCGATCGAATGAGAGTGGTCTTGGTGATATCTTTGACGTGCGAATAACATGCACTAGGTATCAAAGGTGTATGGATGATGATTAGATTTAAAATAATAATAATAATAATAATAATAAAATATATACATACAGTATCTATATACAGTATATATATATATATATTAATTTCACGCACGAATATCAAATGATGATGATTATACAATAGCGAAAAATACACATTGCGGGTGATGCCTTTGATGTAACAGGGGGGTAAAAATAAATTTTGAGTGTGTGGCCCTCACCAACAATTCGACGATTCTTCTCATCCATGTGTTAATGGTGACTGTGCGCGGGTGCCCTGACCGACGACTTTCGGTATCACCATGAAATTAAGTAATGAAAAAAAAGCTAATAAAACAATATTCTACCCACAATACGCATCCACAATCAATCTGAACAATTTAAAAATGATCGGTGGGGATGAAACCCTGGAAATCTTCACTCGGGTAACTACGCTCAGTGCACTTCACATGACGGTTGAGTCGGTCAAGCATTGGGTTTCAATTGTTCTGATTTTAAGATTATTGTTTAAAGAAGCAAGTTTATCAACCTAATTTTATTTATGCGTTCCTTGACCATGGAGCACGCCAGACTGACGATGTTGTGACAAACATAATTAAACTAAATTTGTTCGAAACCTTGTTTGTTACATACATTGAGGCATTTCGTAAGCAAACGAATTTTGTGGGGTAAAAAAACTGATGGTCACTGATTCAACTTAATACGTACGGTGGGATGAGCATGTCAGATCTTTTGCCCGGGAACGCTCCACCAAAAAAAAACAACTTCAATGCCAAGTATGATGAACAACACAAAAGGCAATTTAAAAAAGAAACAAACAAGAGTCAACACAACGGGGGGGGCATTGTCGTGGTCGTCCCGGCACCAAACTTTAATAACTTTGCGTTACATTTGGCGTGCGATCAGATTTCAGCCCATTCCAATGTTTTCTTAATGTAGCCTGTGAAATTTGGGACCACGACGTTTAATACGTGTGGGGTATTGTTCCGGTTGGGTTCCCGCTACCTGTCATCGCACAAGCTCCAATTATTTCGCACAAGAGACTGTAGCTACTGGGAAATCTCTATTGCATTTCTAAATAAAGATTCACACGAAGGCTTGTGTGTAGGAATGTATAGGAATATAGGCACCTCCCTGGTTTTTGAGATACGTACGTACAGTACATCCATCCGTATGGCAATGCGGATAAATTAAAGCATACATAATAATAATAATAAATTAATGTTTCGCACGCAAATCGTTTCGTCTTGGGGTATAAGAATCATACCGGTTTAGCTCGACCTACATACCTCTCGGGATTTGGTTCCGGAACAAGATGATTAACGGAATGTGCAAATAACGTTGTGCATGGAAGTCGACTTCTTCTGATCATTGTCTTGACCATATTAGGGAATTCAATATAAGTTATTGTGCGGTAAATTTAGGAGCTCCATAGAGCCACTTCGGGAAGGAAGGGGACATTTCGTCATCTTTCCGTAAAAATTTTCACGGGAGTCTCGGGCGTGGACTCCTCTTGAGGCCTAAGAGATATGGCTGGATCGAAACCATTCCTGGAACCAATTCTAAAAAGAAAAATGACCACCTACGGAATCAATGATTGAGGGGATGGAGTAGTAAAGGATTCATGGAATATTCTTCTGAGCTAACTTTCTATAAATACCATTCACATTTTTACGCGGGTAGGATGTGTCAGGTGTCAATCAACTTTCGATGTCGAGTGGCATGAAAAAAAAAAAAAAAAAAAAAAAAAAAAAAAAGACAGCTAAACCAAGAATAACACATTCAATTACGCATGTGCAAATGAGGAGACCAAAACTTTCTTTTTGAACTTCCTTTGTCCTTTCCTTCCGTTTTCAACAATTCGCATTATGTGCAAACTTTCCTACCTTTTCCCTTAATCGGAAATGATAAATAATTAGACCTTGTGGCAATTATCCTCGACACCTCGCAGCATATATCAAAATAATAAATGATTTTTTGGTTATTGTAAAAAGTGCACGTGTAACCTCGGGGACAGCCTCTGTGCGACCACCCGTGATGGGAATATTTAGGACATCCTGTAATCAAACATCTGATGATGACTCACTAATAAACAAGAAATGAATATTGTGCATAAGAAATGCCCTCGACCTCGAGAATGAGATTAATTCAATCAGCCAGAAGATAATAAGTTCATATTGGTTCACTTGGCCTCGCATACGATTTCCGGACTGCCGTAATGGTCTACTGATGTTTTCACCTCTCATCTTGCATCCATCTGTATGATGTTAGGTGGCCATTGGACGCACATGAACATACAGCTTTAGATGCTGTACGTAAGTAAATGAGAAATGGGTCACATGAAACCATAATTCATAAATAATTATGTGATTCATTTACCATAACAAGTATTTGTAAACACAAATTCTCTTCATTTATCCTATGAATCATCATCAGAAGGAATTTTAACTTACAATGAGAGTCACCAGACCATCATTACAGGTCATGTTGCTTCGAAACCCCTTGACAGAAAGGCGCTGTGGCTCATCACTTGTGAGATGAGATCTAAAAAAAGTCACCTTGGTGTTTTTTCGGTATGCCCAACATTTTGGAAGTTTATTATTCGTTTTCATGTGTTTACTTTTTTTTGCGGAGGCGTGTGAAATGTTTTTTTCGATTTAACAAACACAAACTTTTTCGAACCAACGCGACGCAACGCAACACTCGTGACATAATACCTTTGTCTGTATTACGTAATGGCTCACATAATGCACAGAATTACAAATTGAACACGGTCTCTGGGGCTCCGGACAAAGTTCTGATTGGAATTCGATCCCTAATTTTGATGAACTTACGCCGCGGCGTCTTTGTTACGGCGGAGACAACGGTTGAAACATGATCTCACATCGGTTATTACGCACCCTAATTTAAGTTTTATAACCACGGATCCAATTAAATTAATTTTTGAATGAATGAATGAATAATGCAAAGTTAAATTGTCTATTTTAGGAGGTTATTCGATGTACAAATGATATCGATCAACGATGTTCAATTTTAAACTCATTTCCGGTGAACACGTGATCAAATAGGGAGCTCGCATTTTTTTTTTTTTTTTTTTTTAATAGGCAGAATCATAAGTTTCATGCTTAAAAAAATTTTTTTTTTTTTTTTTTTTTATGCCAGGGACGCCACTCACGAATATTCATGCAATAAAAAAGAAAGAAAAAAGAAAAAAAAGTTTTTTTCAGAAGAATCGATTTGTCATATCGCACATCTGCTAAGCGACATCATTGTGTAAAACAAAAATTTTCACGAAAAACCACCTTACTATAGAATGAAACAGAAACGACATCACATGTATTATGAAAATGTACAAAACTTCTAAATACAGCATGTGTCGGAATAGAAATTTATAATGAAGTCGCACGAAACTTCCTTCGACACACTGTATGCCAATTGGATTGGTTGGTCGCAGTAGTTTGACCGATTACCGACTACACACAATCTTTGTAGAAATGTATCACCGTTTAACTCTTTTTTTGTCCAAAAAATTTAAAGGGTCCTGCTACCAGTCCATTACTCATTTACTCATGGAGAATTTTTTTTTATTGAGCCACAGTATTATTATTGTTCAGGCGATTGTTATCGATGATGTGCGGGAAAATAATAAATTCCCAGACAGGCGTGAGTCGTTCGACCTCAACTCATGGCGTTGGCGCAGCAAAATAACTGCGGAGCGGCTCAGTCTCTGAGGTGGTGATAGATCTGCGTGGTGATTTCACACCTTTTTGAACATGATATGATACTTTGCGCGCGGGTGGGATGTTTGATTTGATACTTGTCAGATCGTAAAAAAAGATCATTAGAATGACCCGTTTTTCTTAGTGTGTAATTTACAGTACAGATACCGTAAAAAAGAGAATAAAAAAAAAAAATTAAAAAAAAAAAAAAAAAAAAAAGAGAGAAGACGCATAAAATTAAACTAGTATCAATTTTCAAGTGTCAATAATTGTTCTCTCAACTGCATTGTGCTAACCCTGTCAGGGCAACTATGTCTTTCTACAATAGAAAACAAAAGATTGGAGGTCCCAGAATAAGCAATTCTACCGGTGCTTATTTTCGGTAACGGTTGGTTGTCATAATAAACAAATATAATTGTCTATTTATTTTACACTCTACAATACGTATCTATTCTAGTTTCATTTATACTGTACTTGTATATATGTGTACTGTATATTTATTTATTTAATTTATGTACGAAGTTACTTATTGCTCATAAAAAAAAAATTTTTTTTCCCCAAAATTCTCCTTTTTTAAAAGATATAAAAGAGAGCGTATTCCCCTTTTCTTTTTGGATATACTATTCATCGCATAAAGTTTTATTTTTTTTTCTTCTTCTTCTTCTTCTTCATTAAAGGGAACTCGTTTTTTCTTTCCAACGACAAACGATTATACCGTTTCTCCAAACTTTCTTCCCTTTGGCACTTTCTCATTCTTACGAAAGAGATAAATAAACAAATAAAATCTTTGCTTTTTTCGCTCTTATGCCTTCACGAGATAACACTCGCTCAAGTTCAACTGTTAACATCAACAACAACGAGGATAACACCATGTCTCCCACGATGACTGAATCTTACAACTTAACCATGTGGCCAAAGAAGACTCACGGTACCCAACGACCTCTAACCATCTACAGCAAGAATATCATCATACCTCTCAGCAACGATCAAGAAATCATATCACCCATACCGTCGGGGCATTTCGAAACCTCACGTCGGTTCTGGCAGTTCAAGGTTGAAGAGGGACAAACGACCTATGTACGCTATGGTACCATCAGAGCTGATGGTGGCCTCGAGGAAAGGGCAACGCACATCCAGCAACATCCAAATTATGCGGATGCCAAAAAATTTGTGGAAAATTTGGTGGACGAAAAGATTAAAGCTGGATACGTTGGTTGGGCACGTTGGTGATTTAATGCACAAATATCATCTTCATTGTACACACGGGGTTTCACATAATATACAATTTTATTTTTTTTCTTTTTCTTCTTCTCTATCCCTTGTTTTTTTTTATACTTCTTAATTCGAACGCGTTCATGAACATTTTTTTTATCTATCTATCAAAACGGCGGCTATACCACAACTATACAACAACAACATCACAAAAAAAATATGATCAAAAAAAAAAAAAAAAAAAAAAAAAAAAACACCCTTCTCCATATTCCGTAGGTGAATTTTTTCAAAGTTCCGCAAACATATTATTTTTATCTATATAACTAGAAAGGAACAATAACAAAAAAAAAGCCTCCAAATATACTATGATATGGTTTATCTATTCTCGAGAATAATTACGGTATTAAGCAAATGAAATAAAAAATTTTCTTTGTAATCTTAATTACTGTTAATATCTAATACTACATGTATGTAGAAATACTTTTCTATGTAGATAATTTTTTTTTTTTTTTTTTTTTTCCTTCCGATCTCAGTTTCATCTTGTAAATACACGATAAAAGCTTCTCTTTCTTGATTTCTCTTTTTTTTTCATATATTTATAACAATGACAATTTCGCGTCTTAAAAAAAAGAAAAATTTCAATCATGTTATCTTTGTCTTCCCAGCCAATTACAAATAAAGCAACAATTTATCAATTATCAATTTATTGTTTTTATGCACTGCACTCGTTCGAATATCGACATTTCTTTGTATCAAGTATCCTTCATTCATGCCGATAAAAGCAAGATTCGATTCGATTCAATTCTTTATTGAATGCGTGTTGCGTGCTACAGAGAAGTCACCATCAAAATCTGTTTATAATTTTGTTTTTTTTTCTGATTTCCCGATAAGAAGAAAAACGCCACCCGTCTTGACCGTACACGTCGTTTGATGGTAGTAGTTATCTTGCCAGTGTTGGTGCCGACGCACGCAATCGAAACATTTGAGATCCTTTCCTCAAACGCCGCTGTCGTCGAACAATGAACAGATGTCGCACAGTGTTCCCCAAACGTAAATCGTTATCCGCTGTGACCTTAATTATGTATGGTGAGTCTTCATTATGTGCGAAAGTTTGTAACGAATAAGGTCAATCTTGACATTAAAAATGTTCTTTGTGTTGACTAGATCAATACTTAAACCGGAATGTCTCTCAACCTTTGCACAGAGACATGTGTCGATTAGGGTTTTCTGGGATATCGATCATCCTATCCACTCGTTTCTCTTCAATGAAAAAAGTTTCGAACCTTACCAGTTTTACTGGTACGCGTTGATCGTTCTTTGTGAAAAGTCTATTCAAATCGGCGAATTCTCGTACGATAACTCTTTGTGTTACATTAAGGATATGTCATGTGCGTGGACAATCCGTAGTCGTGTTACCCAACTCATTCTTTTTTCTTTAGGTGTGTTTTGATGAAAAACTATCACCTTTCTGGAAGGTTGTAAAACTTCGGAATTGTGGTCCAAACACTCAGGCACGCACAACATGCTCAGCATGCAAACACAAGGCACGCGTTTGTATCATGAATGCCTACGTACATACGTACGCACGATATTAAAATCAAGAATTCCCAAATTCAATGTTCTTTCGCATGTATATAGACGAATACTGTGCGATGCAAATGATGACACGAAAAATATTTGGCGTTAGATACTGACTTTGCGAATTCTGCACGTCGCTCCACGTCGTCGTAGAAAAAGGACAGACACGCTTCATGTCGGTAAATTTGTCCAACTCTCATACCTGACGACCTTCTTTTTCATGAAATTTTGACAAAAAAAAAAAATGCACGCCGCCAATCAATCGAAATCTTCCCATAAATCACCGCCCTCAAAGTGGTAAAAAAAACCAAGGAGATAGCATTTATTCGGTGTTACAACGCTGTGAAACGATACGGAAGTGGATAACAATTTCAGAAGCATAGAACTATTTTGAATGATATTATGTTGACCTAATTCCAGGACAATGAGGTGAAGACAGATCACGTACACCTTACCAGAATTATCAACAATTTGTTGTTGTTTTTTCCCACGAATCAAATTTCGCTCGGGTCACGAGAGTCCATTTATTATGTTTATCATCCGGCAGCCATCTAATTCATCGACATCGACATTATCCTTTGTTGATTCATTCGTCCAGCGAAAAAGTCATTGCGTTCCTCAACATCCTCCAAAATAAGTGTCCTCATTTGGTTATGGTTCATCGAAAATTCCGTTGTTCCAAGCTAAGCGGAGAGAAAGAGAACGAATGGAGTAATAATAGCGGGCGGGGCGATTTACATGTATCATCTGGTGAGATCTTGATGTCACAAGCGCACAAGCCTCAAAAGAATTTCTCCGGTTACCGATATGGCCGGCGTACGTAAAGATGAAGTGAATAGGAATATCAAATAAAGTTCAGTGAAGACCTGCACGTACATGGGTTTACCTCGTTTGGTTCGATCAGACCGGTGAAGCCCCAAAAGAAAGAAAGAAATTTCTATCCAAGTTTCTTCTAAACTTGGAAATTTACAAAGGTGGGGGAACCTTTAAACAAAGTTATAGGGCATGGCGCATGTGCATTTTTCTTTTTATGCTAGCCGAAATCGACCTAGCATGACCAATTAAGAATGATAGCATGGAAGCAGCTTTTTCTCTGAAGAATGCAAACTTCAAAAAAGAGTAAAACAATGGTGATACATTTGTCAACATTCGAGGTTCTTCATATACCGTGTGACCCTGCACGCCCGCTGATGAGAAACTATTAATTATTGTATATACGATGATAAGTAGATTAAAGATTGACGCTGGTATTAGATCATTGTGGCAAAGAAATACTTCCAAATTATAATTATAATAATTATAATCATAGCAGTAATGATGATGATGATGACGATGATGATGATGATGATGATGATGATGATAAAAGGATAATGACGAGCAAATAACTAATAAATAACTAATAATAATAATAATGGGATTTCTTCTTTCGTGGTGTTTAACTGGGTGGGAAAGCAACTTCTCGATTTGGCTTCTATTCTCTTCGACATAAATGGAAGACACGTGATTTTCACAAACTTTTTAGCAAGTGGGCGGACAGGTGAGAAATAGCAGAAAACATTATGTAACAGTTGGGTATGTATGAACACGCGATTGAATGTTACAAATTAATGGGCGGTGATGACTTCCCTAAATGATTTCTCAAAAGATGTCAAATTCTATCGCTCTCACCTTACGTAATCAAAATGTAAGACGATCAACACCCGGTTTGGTAAGGTGAAGTCGGTGTCGAGAAACGTTTGTCGGGGGTAAAGTTCTTAGGGGTATAATCGACACTAATAATTTATCGAATAGCATTATGCATGTGTATTTGTGCGGCTGGTAAAGCCTCTTTCCGACATTTTGACATTTGGAGGTCTCACGTTGAAATCGATTGGTTCATTCGTCGGTTGTCGACGTGCAGTATATGAATTACCCAAGATTTTCATCATGATATGATCACAGTGTATAATTATTCCTTGATATATTGAAAATCGGATTCTGTGTGCAGATTAAACTCGTACCACTGCATAATAAACCTTGATACCACACGACCTGCGATGCGCTTTTAATTTCCAATCGTCATTAACGAATATATTTTTTTTAATGTTTGCCTGATTGTTCGATAACGATGGATTAAATTAATGATAGTTGCCATAGTAATTAGGGTTTGAACAAACCTTATGCGGGACCGGTTTCAACGTTTAACAAAATCAGACTAGCGCAAAAATGAACGGGAAATAATGAACAAAAAAATTTGTCATAATGGCCGGTAGGTTGACAAATCAAGGGATGGATGGATGGATGGATGTTGAACGAACGCGTGCTCTTCTGTGTCCCGCATGCGTGCTGCTTATAGGGCAGTCGAAGGAGTCGACATTCATACAAAAATTGATGTGAAGAACCTTATGTGTTCTCGTCTGCGTATAAATTAACTTTGTCCGCTTTTTAACATTTAAACCTCCTGCATTAGCCTGCGTTCTCGAATGTGGAATCCGGTAATTATTTAAGGTTATACGGGGACGAATGACAATCGCATGAAAGTGAACGTTGTACTCGGATGCAGTGCAAATACTGCATGACCACTTGGAAGTTGCATAGATTCCCAAATCCGGGTAGCAAATACTGTATACTGTATTCAAGTAAACAACCACCTCGCCGTAAACTTCTGAAGCCCTCGTGATCCAACGTTCCTGACCTTCCCGCGGTTGTATAATAAACGAATTGAGGTGAATGAACTTTACTCATGAACAAGTATTTCAAATCCCGAGTTTACTACGATAAACTAAAAGAACAATAGGCATCTTGTGTACCTTTACCCCTGATTGGATCATTCGTTTCGTTGACCTGACCTGCCCTTACCGACTTATTGTTTACAACGAATTTTCCTTTTCCCCGACTTGCCCAAAATTAAAGAGTTTAAGGGATCTTGTACACAAGTTAACTTTTTTGCGTAAGAATAAATAATTGCTGTGATCATTCCTTCATTGATTATTAAGCAATGTGAATTTCAAAAAAAAAAAAATTAAGAGAAGCAGGCTTGCATTCAACAATGCGTCGAATCGTCCGAGTATACCCGCACACACTGGGCTGACCGTCACAATGGATGTTTACTACCGCTCGACCAATCACGTATTTGCCCTCTCTCTCACACATTAACATTGTTATCGCTGTACGCACGTGTTAAAAAAACGATCCCAGGGACTGAAGTTAATAATGTCGATGGGCACGCGATGCAACAATGACATAAATTTCTTGCCGTGAGATTATTTTGGGCATAGTCGTAATTTTAAATACATATATTTCTTAATAAAGTTAACTTGCAAGCATGCCAGAAATTTTTTTCAATTATTATTTTTATTTTTTTATTTTTTTGTTGATTTAACATCTACTGCATATTATCCGAACAATACACTGTACGTTTTGCTTAGCATATACCGATCATAACAAAATAATTCATAAAATATCTTATTTTTTTAATATTAATAAATGACTTTGTGGATTAAATAACTTAAAATAAGCGTCTAATCAATTTATTATTGTTTATTTACAAAATTTTGATAGGCATTGTTATTTTTTTTTTTTAAAAAAAGATAACAATTATATTTTTTTATAAAAAAAAAATCAATTTAAAATTATCATAAGACTCCATGATCAAAAAACCATTGTTGCTAATTCTAATTATATTATAATTGATTCTTTTCAAATAACAACAACAATAATAATAAATTTTTCTAAATCAATCTTTAAAAAATCAAACTATAAATAAAATCAAAATTGTATATACTGTACAGTATATCTATAGGTATTATTAAATTACATATGATAATTATGATAAGAAATAATCAATCGATCAATCAAAAATACATTAAAATTAATAATTAGAAATTTTTAATCTTTTCAGATGTCACGATTGTATCCTTTCTCTCGAGTAAAATCATACAGTATCTAATAATTTGTAATTGCACATGTAATTGCATAAACATAATGCAACAAAAAAACAAACAATAATATGATATACTATATATATATTCTTCTGATTAAATTATAATGAAAAAAATAACAAATGCTAAAACTAGAAACTAATTATTCTAAAAGTTTTTCATACACCGATTATACAGTATAAATCTTTGGTTTTATGAAAAAGCAACTTTCTATAATCAAATAATATAAATTAATAGAATAAATTGAATTCACAAAATATCAGATAATAGTATCACTATAATGCGTATGAGATCTTTGGATAAAATGGATCCAGAAGACGGGTTAATTACAGAAAATTTTTTAATGTATATCAATATGCATTCGAGCACCTCTCAAAAAAAAAATCTCCCCTTATTTTTTTTAAAAAAAACATTTAAATTCTTTATTTTCTGATTAGCAAAAATGTTTCATATACACTTATAAGAGATGGATTTTGTTTGAAACAAGGTTTTATTTGAATAAAAAAATGGTAGACTTTATTTATGAACAACTTGGTTAATGCGATGCTTGAATGATTAGATGCGTTATTTACGAGCAACTTTGTACATGAACCGCTTTGAAGAGTTAAAATTACATGAAAAGATTAATATAATATATTCCGATTTTTTGTAAAAAAGGTTGACCATGTCACATGAAAAACATGTAAAAAAAAAAAAAGCTACATAGAATTCATTCGTTTTTGATTGGATAACTCGAATTGTTGAATGTAGTCGGGATTCGTCTTCCAATCTTCAAGTGCTTGCTTGATTCTTTCAATACTTGGCCGGTTGATTGGCTCTTTGTCCCAGCACTGCGTCATCAATTCTGCATAACATTCTGGAATGTCCTCGACAATTTTGGGACGCCAACCATCCAAAATTTCTAATGCCAAGTTTGAAGTGAGATATTTATCTCGGTAAGGCGACTTTCGAGAACTTAATGCCCACATAACAATCCCTAGACTATAAATGTCAGATTTTGCAGAAAACCGGTTTCCTCTTATGGCATGTGGATCCACATAAGCCAAAATTCCTGTTAATTCCTCTTTGACATCAGTAAGATTAGTCATGTTGTCTATTTTACTACAATTATCGATGTTGCTTATATATATATCATAACCAAAATTTATGCAATCATCGCATTTTCCATGATAATTGACTAGGCTTATTGTTCTTACATTTAGGTCACAATGCGCATACCCTAATTCGTGTATGCTTTGTAAACTCTCTACTATATTTGTAAGTATGTAATGTATTTCATTCCATCCGGGTGAATTATTGGAAAGAAAGGTTTGTAAAGTTCCGCCGTCTACGAATTGCATTACCGCCCCATAATTCCCAGTTTCTTTGTCATAGGTAAATCCATAACAATTCAGAATATTGTCACAGCTAAGGTATATTTCTAACTGTATGGATGAAAGTAGATATCAGAAAAGATCAAGATATAATAGGCATGCATAGGCGAAAAACTTTCTCTCACCACGTTAGCATTTACCAAGTGGAAAAACAATGAATTTTTTAAAATCCTGATAGCCACGTTGTTGTTTCCTTCGGTCACACATTGTTGAAATTTTGAATTCCACAATTTTCTTCTTTGTCCCGGCCATTTGGCCGAATAAATTAATCCGGAATTGTGACCAGTGCTCAATACTTTGATATCTTTTAATTGGTCATATTCGATCCATTCCAGGTATCTTAGCGAATTCTTTGCATTCAGCTGAGAATTCTTAATGATAATATCGAGTTCTTGATTATTGCTTGTCCAGTAAGTAAATTTATCGCGAAAATTTTTTACTTCACACGTTTGACACCATTCATGATCTGTGAATTGTTGTAGGCATTTTGAACAAATTCCCAGTTCTGTATTCCCAAAATCTAATTAATCAATTACCAAATTGGTCATTATTATTATAGCAAGTAAAGAAAACTTTCTAAAAACTTTTTTTACCCGGCGTTGTCACCATAAGACTTTCTTCGGTTCCGTCGTAAACGGGTACGAGCGGCATAGACCGCAATCTGGCTAGTACCTCCCTAGCGGAAGGCCGCATTTCAGGATCTTGATCCCAACATTCTGAATACAATCTTACGTAATGTGAAGGCGTTTTTTCAACAGGATTCTCACGTTCTCCTTTGGAGATCATGAGAGAGATGTTCACAAAAGATTGATCATTAAATGGGCAGCGACGACTAGATATTAACCAAAAAACCACTCCCAAACTATATATGTCAGATCGTTGGTCCTGTTTGTATTTGGTGTCCATAATTTTCTGTGGTTCAATGAAAGGTATTACTCCCACGAGATTGTGTGTCGTCGTCATATAGCTGGTAATTTTTTTTGACAAACCAAAATCAGAAATTTTAATGTTTCCCTGATGGATGAGGATATTCTTTCCATGCTAAGAGAATAGAATATTACAATCGTCAGTAAATTCACTTGAGATGTGTGGATCAGAAACCACGAAACATCACCAGATCACGGTGAGCAATGTTATTATCGTGAAGGTAACAAATCCCTTCGGAAATCTGAATGGAAAATTTGATTTTTTCTGATATCTGGATTTCGCGTTTCATATCTATCAAATATTCCTTTAAAGTTTTCTGGTCTGCGCACTCCATCACGAGATAATAGATTTTTTTGGAGATATCTAACAATTGAAATCTCTTTAGATGAAATAAGGGTTTCCATGGAGATTTCTGTATAAACAACATACTTTGACTTATCCCGAAGAGACGAATGAAGCGTGGGTGTTCGTTAATGAGACTATGTAATCTTAGCTTAATCAAAATATTCACAAATCAACTTTACGAGTGAATCATCAAATTTTTTTAATAAATTCAATTATCTAATTTTCCAATACTGAATTTACCTCATTGACAAAACTCTTTACATAATTCTCTTCATCGGTCGCATCCATTTTCACTTCTTTTACAGCCAAGATTTTTGGAACCAATGGATGATAGGTTGCCGAGTAAACGCAACCAAATC